TTCAGTTAGCTCATCATGATGAATACACTTAGAATTCAGCACTATGGTTTTCAGAGGGGAGCACGAGGAGGTTGACTTGTTTTTTTTAATGGGTGATAATGTAATGGCAACTCCACCCGTGCTATCGGTATACACCGGCGGGGCACCAGTGAACGATGCTCCACTGGATAGCCGACCGCGATGGGGAGTACTATTAGTAATCCCCCCCCCCCATGTGGTTGCAGTGGTGCGGCGCGGTGGCGCCGACGTCGTCGTGCCGCACGTCGGTGGGCGTGGCCGTGCTGGACGGCGCGCTGTACGCGGTGGGCGGCCAGGACGGCGTGCAGTGCCTCAACCACGTCGAGCGCTACGACCCCAAGGAGAACCGCTGGACCAAGGTCACACATACACCTACATACACCTTCCCACCACCTACACTCGCTCACGATCCACTAGCTGCCATGCAGGCTGGTGGCTGTTAGATGCCAACATTCACCCCGCATGTGGGGGTCGTGTACAGCGGTGTAGTGTGCGAATCCTCGTATCTCAAATCCTGCTCTCATCTCAAAGCAAAATATCGTTCACTCGGCGGCTCGTGTCTCAAAACACACGTATATCGAGGTACTACTATATATATTATATATCTACATATATAGGTAAATATATGTTCATAAAGATAGAAGATACTCTTTAAGTCTACTTTTAAAAATATTTAGGGATTGACTCTCACGGATAGATATGAGAAGAGAATTCCACAATCTAGCAGCATGGACGGTAAAGATCTAGTATAGCGCGTAGATAAGGGAGAAGGGATTTTGAGGATAAGAGAGTTTGTCGAGCAATATTACGTTTGTTACCATGTACATTGATATCCATGGTGCATGTTATCTGTTTTTTTTTAATGGGTGATAATGGTATGGTAACCCTGTCTGCGCTATCGATGTACCCTGGCGGGGTAACAGTGATAGATGACTGGTGAGGATGAAAGCAGATCAATAAGCCCATCCTGACGAATTGCACTAGAATTGGCCACGATAGTTTCCAGGGGGAACCACGTAGAGGTGGTGGCGATTCCCCCGCATGCTAGGTATGAGCACATAGGAGTGTAACGCGCAGGTGGCGGCGATGACGACGCGGCGGCTGGGCGTGGCGGTGGCGGTGCTGGGCGGGCAGCTGTACGCGGTGGGCGGGTCGGACGGGCAGGCGCCGCTGAACTCGGTGGAGCGCTACGACCCGCGCAGCAACAAGTGGGCGGCCGTGGCGCCCATGTCCACGCGCCGCAAGCACCTCGGCTGCGCCGTCTACGACGGACACATCTACGCCGTCGGCGGCCGCGACGACTGCACCGAGCTCTCCTCCGCCGAGAGGTACGGCCCGCTCGTGTAGCGAACACCGAACACCGAACACCACTCTAAATATATCTATACTACTACTACTGCTACATATATATATATATATATATATATATATATATATATATATATATATATATATATATATATATCGAGGTTCGAACCTGGGATCTTTATTTTTTCCTCTATTTATTAATGACCTGTTAGACTCATTTAAATGTAACTGTCTGACATACGCGGCCGATATATAGTACGTTACTGCAGCGGCCAGCAACTGAGACATTGATGAACGAACGTGCAAATGTGGACCGAGACGTAGCCGAGGCACACATACATAAATCCATCAATGCCTAATTGTGGCCAAGGCTTATATAGTACTTTCTCAAACAATGCGCGGAAATCAAAAACACAATTTTACTTTTAAGTTCAATGACGAATAACGAACAATAATAATTTTTCAGGCGCCATAATGTTCCTTTGTTTTTTTTTTTTCAATAAACAGCTTTCTATTTGCAAGCCAGTTCGAAATTTAAATAAAACCTTTTATTAGTTACCTCCTTGGTAGCCATGTTTCAAAGTAAAAGGTCATTTCATTTTTAAATTACAGGACAGATATGAGTTTACATAGTAATTTATCGGGCCGCAAAACACGATATTTTAATTTCCGCTGCAGTAATTTACTATTGTTTTATTCTATTGTTAAAAGTTTTGTTTGTAATCTGTTAATGTACCACAGAAATAAATAAATAACAGTGTCAAATTTGATTAACATTGGTCATTATATTTGTACATGCAGGTACGAGCCGAGCACGGACACGTGGTCGCCGGTGGTGGCGATGACGTCGCGGCGTAGCGGCGTGGGGCTCGCCGTCGTCAACGGCCAGCTCTACGCCGTCGGCGGCTTCGACGGCACAGCATACCTCAAATCCATAGAGGTAACCACGTCACTCACTATCACTAGTGCAGGAGATCTCCCATACCATGGTCACAGTGGTGGTAAGATTGGTATGACTATAAGGAGCGATGGTTTGAGAGCTTATACCATCATCCCCCTACTCTTACTAACGGTGTAATATGGTTTTATCCATATTACTAAAGGATTTGTGTCAATGTGAATGTGAAAAAGGCTCTATTTTCCGCGCTTAGCCTCTCATTTGGGCCGTTGTGCGTATGAGTCGTGGCTAGTACAGCCAACCTAGCTCCGCCCAGAAGCGCAGAAGCTTCCTGGGTTCTTCACAGGCCTCACGGAGCGACCTCACCGTTCTGAGGATTTCTAAACATTGATGGGTCACAGCCTCACATTCCAGGATTACGTGAGCAGCCGTTTCTTTGGCGTCGAAACAGCCTCTACATAGAGGGCTGTCTGTGGCTCCTGTTGTGTACAAAAATGTTTGTTTAATGGACAATGGCCCGTTATTGTCCCTATCATTATTTTGAGTTTTTGGCTTATAGTTTTACGACCGGCCGCCTGCCTGACGTCAACCCTCTTTGGCTTCAGAGCTTAAATATTCGCTGTTAATTGTCCTCCGCTAAATATAAGCCTTCCCCATTAGAGCAGTTTGTAGCTGCCATATTTGGCAAACGGGTTGGCAGCCACAGTTTGGCTTTTAGTGATGTTCTAAGAGAAATACTGCAGCTCATTCCTCGATCTTTGAGTTTTCTTAGTCGTCTCTTACGACGCTAACAGGAAAGGAAGGGATGCTCCATTCTATGTCAGGACCACATTGTAGCTTATTACAGACTTATTTTTTTGTGATACATATTTTGAATGAAAAATAAGCTGATGGCTCACTTTATGGGAAACGTTAGACATGAACAGTACCATAGACAACAGATTTAGATATATACATAAAAAAACAATAATTTAAAATTTATTGTAAATAAGTCTATTTGAATAAATATATTATTGAAATAAAATAAAAAAAGGTATTGTATAGGAAAAAATAAGCTTTATGATATAAATAATAATTGTTTGTTTGTTTGTAACACTTCACTGTACAGTAGAGTCTTAAATTCTAGGCTGTGTTTCGGTTTGAAGGGTGGGATATGGCGTGAATTTACTGGGTACAGAGGAACAACACCTGAGTCCTCAGGAATGGCAACGCATGGGGGGTATCATGGGCGAAACAGTATACTCTGCTATGTCCATGGTACTGCTCATGTCTATAGGCGACGGTTACCACTTTCCATCGGGTGGGCCGTCAGCTTGTTTGTCATTCTAAGTTGTATAAAAATAAAAGTATAATGGCGGACTTATCCCATAAAAGGGATTATATTTGTTATAAATGTGATACTGATCGCGGCAGGTGTACGACCCGGAGTCGAACCAGTGGCGGCTGTGCGGCGCCATGAACTACCGGCGGCTCGGCGGCGGCGTCGGCGTCATGCGCGCGCCGCACCACGACAACCACTACATATGGTGAGTACGTACTCATGTCTGTGTTATTTATATGCGTGCAGTGCAGTAAAGAAATTGCTGTTTACTTACAAATGTAATAATTGTTAATTTACCACTGCACGCACCAGGTCAATATTAATATGTCGCCCCACCATTTTCGTCTCAATGTACTGTATTTGTATTTAGTGCATAAAATCATTTTAATTTGTTCATTTTGTCAGTTAATCGAGCCATTAGAAATATACATTTATATATACTTAATTATATAATATATATTTTAACAAAAGACAAAAATAAACGAAAAAAAAAAAAACGGCATCCTGGTCATCACTGAATACTCTAATACGCACAGGGGGTGTCATGTGCGAAACAGTATACTCTGTTATGTCCATGGTACTGCTCATATCTATAGGCGACGGTTACCGCTTTCCATTAGGTGGGCCGTCAGCTTGTTTGTCATTCTAAGTTGTATAAAAAAAAAAGGATCCCAAGGACTATTGTGTTAACTCAATAGTGCACGAAGATATTGATAGCAATGGCAGTTTGCATTACTAGCAATCCCCCCAATTCGACAGCGTAGCCGTGTAGCAAAAGTTTGTGGAAAGTGTGCTGTGTATTTCAACATGTGCCGTTTTGTTTCAGGAATCGAAAAGACTCGGTGGTGTGAACCACCAACTCCCCCCCACTCGCTGTAAAATATTCCCCCTCCACTCGTATCTTTTAAGTCGTTACTCATTTTATTTTATTGTTATATAAAGGTATATTACTAATAAATTGACTATTTATAAATAAAATAAATAAAAATACAAATTTTAGGATATTATAGTTCAGTGTTTTATTTTTTAAATAAACAAGGAAATTTATATAATTTATTGACTAGTAAAATGTTACAAAATCCTCTACTAGAGAGTATTTTGAACGTGCAGAGACTAAAATTTCCCTTTAGCATAATAGTAATAACTCTAAATGAAAAAGTAACTCATTTTGAATTTTTTTTGATGGGTGAAAATGGTATGGTAACCCCGCCTGCGCTAACGGGATACGCTGGCGGAGCACCAGTGAAGGGTGATAGGTGAGAATGAAAACAGGCCAGTTAGCCCATCATGATGAATTCATCAGGAATTAATCATGATAGTTTCTAGGGGGAACCGCGAGGAGGTCGACCTGGTTGGATATATTGCTAGCAATGGGGTTCTTAGTCCCCATTACTAACAATCCCTTTCCCCCCATCTATCGATATTAGCATTGATATATTATATTCTGAAATTAATCGTAGCTGCACAAAAATGGTAAGTAGTTGGCGTCCTAGAAACATCTACGCCGTCGGCGGCCGCGACGACTGCACCGAGCTCTCCTCCGCCGAGAGGTACGGCCCGCTCGTGTAGCGAACACCGAACACCGAACACCACTCTAAATATATCTATACTACTACTACTGCTACTGTTTGTATATATATAGCATCAACAGGCGTACCTCGAGGTTCGAACCTGGGATCTTTATTTTTTCCTCTATTTATTAATGACCTGTTAGACTCATTTAAATGTAACTGTCTGACATACGCGGCCGATATATAGTACGTTACTGCAGCGGCCAGCAACTGAGACATTGATGAACGAACGTGCAAATGTGGACCGAGACGTAGCCGAGGCACACATACATAAATCCATCAATGCCTAATTGTGGCCAAGGCTTGTATAGTACTTTCTCAAACAATGCGCGGAAATCAAAAACACAATTTTACTTTTAAGTTCAATGACGAATAACGAACAATAATAATTTTTCAGGCGCCATAATGTTCCTTTGTTTTTTTTTTTTCAATAAACAGCTTTCTATTTTGAAGTCAGTCCGAAATTTAAATAAAACCTTTTATTAGTTACCTCCTTGGTAGCCATGTTTCAAAGTAAAAGGTCATTTCATTTTTAAATTACAGGACAGATATGAGTTTACATAGTAATTTATCGGGCCGCAAAACACGATATTTTAATTTCCGCTGCAGTAATTTACTATTGTTTTATTCTATTGTTAAAAGTTTTGTTTGCAATCTGTTAATGTACCACAGAAATAAATAAATAACAGTGTCAAATTTGATTAACATTGGTCATTATATTTGTACATGCAGGTACGAGCCGAGCACGGACACGTGGTCGCCGGTGGTGGCGATGACGTCGCGGCGTAGCGGCGTGGGGCTCGCCGTCGTCAACGGCCAGCTCTACGCCGTCGGCGGCTTCGACGGCACAGCATACCTCAAATCCATAGAGGTAACCACGTCACTCACTATCACTAGTGCAGGAGATCTCCCATACCATGGTCACATTGGTGGTAAGATTGGTATGACTATAAGGAGCCATGGTTTGAGAGCTTATACCATCATCCCCCTACTCTTACTAACGGTGTAATATGGTTTTATCCATATTACTAAAGGATTTGTGTCAATGTGAATGTGAAAAAGGCTCTATTTTCCGCGCTTAGCCTCTCATTTGGGCCGTTGTGCGTATGAGTCGTGGCTAGTACAGCCAACCTAGCTCCGCCCAGAAGCGCAGAAGCTTCCTGGGTTCTTCACAGGCCTCACGGAGCGACCTCACCGTTCTGAGGATTTCTAAACATTGATGGGTCACAGCCTCACATTCCAGGATTACGTGAGCAGCCGTTTCTTTGGCGTCGAAACAGCCTCTACATAGAGGGCTGTCTGTGGCTCCTGTTGTGTACAAAAATGTTTGTTTAATGGACAATGGCCCGTTATTGTCCCTATCATTATTTTGAGTTTTTGGCTTATAGTTTTACGACCGGCCGCCTGCCTGACGTCAACCCTCTTTGGCTTCAGAGCTTAAATATTCGCTGTTAATTGTCCTCCGCTAAATATAAGCCTTCCCCATTAGAGCAGTTTGTAGCTGCCATATTTGGCAAACGGGTTGGCAGCCACAGTTTGGCTTTTAGTGATGTTCTAAGAGAAATACTGCAGCTCATTCCTCGATCTTTGAGTTTTCTTAGTCGTCTCTTACGACGCTAACAGGAAAGGAAGGGATGGTCCATTCTATGTCAGGACCACATTGCAGCTTATTACAGACTTATTTTTTGTGATACATATTTTGAATGAAAAATAAGCTGATGGCTCACTTTATGGGAAACGTTAGACATGAACAGTACCATAGACAACAGATTTAGATATATACATAAAAAAACAATAATTTAAAATTTATTGTAAATAAGTCTATTTGAATAAATATATTATTGAAATAAAATAAAAAAAGGTATTGTATAGGAAAAAATAAGCTTTATGATATAAATAATAATTGTTTGTTTGTTTGTAACACTTCACTGTACAGTAGAGTCTTAAATTCTAGGCTGTGTTTCGGTTTGAAGGGTGGGATATGGCGTGAATTTACTGGGTACAGAGGAACAACACCTGAGTCCTCAGGAATGGCAACGCATGGGGGGTATCATGGGCGAAACAGTATACTCTGCTATGTCCATGGTACTGCTCATGTCTATAGGCGACGGTTACCACTTTCCATCGGGTGGGCCGTCAGCTTGTTTGTCATTCTAAGTTGTATAAAGAAAAAAGTATAATGGCGGACTTATCCCATAAAAGGGATTATATTTGTTATAAATGTGATACTGATCGCGGCAGGTGTACGACCCGGAGTCGAACCAGTGGCGGCTGTGCGGCGCCATGAACTACCGGCGGCTCGGCGGCGGCGTCGGCGTCATGCGCGCGCCGCACCACGACAACCACTACATATGGTGAGTACGTACTCATGTCTGTGTTATTTATATGCGTGCAGTGCAGTAAAGAAATTGCTGTTTACTTACAAATGTAATAATTGTTAATTTACCACTGCACGCACCAGGTCAATATTAATATGTCGCCCCACCATTTTCGTCTCAATGTACTGTATTTGTATTTAGTGCATAAAATCATTTTAATTTGTTCATTTTGTCAGTTAATCGAGCCATTAGAATTATATATATATATATATATATATATATATATATATATATATATATATATATATATATATATACATTTATATAGACTTAATTACAAAGAATATTTTAACAAAAGACAAAAATAAACGAAAAAAAAAAAACGGCATCCTGGTCATCACTGAATACTCTAATACGCACAGGGGGTGTCATGTGCGAAACAGTATACTCTGTTATGTCCATGGTACTGCTCATATCTATAGGCGACGGTTACCGCTTTCCATTAGGTGGGCCGTCAGCTTGTTTGTCATTCTAAGTTGTATAAAAAAAAAAGGATCCCAAGGACTATTGTGTTAACTCAATAGTGCACGAAGATATTGATAGCAATGGCAGTTTGCATTACTAGCAATCCCCCCCCCCCCCCCCCAATTCGACAGCGTAGCCGTGTAGCAAAAGTTTGTGGAAAGTGTGCTGTGTATTTCAACATGTGCCGTTTTGTTTCAGGAATCGAAAAGACTCGGTGGTGTGAACCACCAACTCCCCCCCACTCGCTGTAAAATATTCCCCCTCCACTCGTATCTTTTAAGTCGTTACTCATTTTATTTTATTGTTATATAAAGGTATATTACTAATAAATTGACTATTTATAAATAAAATAAATAAAAATACAAATTTTAGGATATTATAGTTCAGTGTTTTATTTTTTAAATAAACAAGGAAATTTATATAATTTATTGACTAGTAAAATGTTACAAAATCCTCTACTAGAGAGTATTTTGAACGTGCAGAGACTAAAATTTCCCTTTAGCATAATAGTAATAACTCTAAATGAAAAAGTAACTCATTTTGAATTTTTTTTGATGGGTGAAAATGGTATGGTAACCCCGCCTGCGCTAACGGGATACGCTGGCGGAGCACCAGTGAAGGGTGATAGGTGAGAATGAAAACAGGCCAGTTAGCCCATCATGATGAATTCATCAGGAATTAATCATGATAGTTTCTAGGGGGAACCGCGAGGAGGTCGACCTGGTTAGATATATTGCTAGCAATGTAGTCCTTAGTCCCCATTACTAACAATCCCTTTCCCCCCCATCTATCGATATTAGCATTGATATATTCTGAATTTAATCGTAGCTGCACAAAAATGGTAAGTAGTTGGCGTCCTAGAAAAGAACGCAACCTACGAGTTATCCCGTAGTTGGCAGTCAACGTGTTGATAAATACATGTATACCTATTTTTTTCGCAAGTTTTTTCTATATTTGTAAGTTATTTCTATTTGTTTAGGTCAAATTTTGCAAGCTAAATTACAATCACTTCTTGTTCAATTGTTTCGTCGCCAATACCCATTTTTCGGATGGGAGACTCAATACACTGATTGAAAATTATAAAAAAAAAAAATAACCAAAATTAAAAAAAAAAAAACAAACTGAATACAAAATTACCACAATTGACAGTATCAGTGTAAAAACTTAAAAAAAAAAACAACAATGTGCCTATGAATGCGGCGTGGCGGGCGGCGGGGACGTAGCCTTGTCGAGTGCGGCGGGGTCGTCGTCGTCGGGCTCGGCGTCGGCCGCGTCGTCGCCGTCGGCCGCGTCGTCGGCGTCGGCCAGGCTGTCGGGCTCGGCGCCGGCCTCCGCCTCGGCAGCCTCGCTGGCCGACACTCCTGTTGAGTCGATCGTCTCTTCTTTGGTCTCGTTGCGCTTCTGCAATAAAAAAAAACAGACTATGTAAATTTACATGTAACTAAGAGTTCTTTTAATACATGATAATGGAATGGTAATCAAATTGCAAATCCGGCCCTGTATAGAGTATTGCTTTCACTTATAGGCGGCAGCACCTAGATACCAGCGTGAACCCTTCGACTCAGTGCAACGACGAGCTATGAGAATTGTCGATGATCCCAGGCTTGCGAGCCCTTAAGTCTTAGGAGAGATTTTGCTTCACTCTGCGTGTTCTACCGCTTGTACAGCGGATTGTGCTCAGAGGAATTATTCAATATGATGCCTACGGCCACTTTCTACCATCGTACGGCTCGCCATCGACAGGGAGTTCACCCTCATACCTTACAGCCTAAATGGTCGCATGCAACGCGGTTTCAGAGATGTTTTCTCCCACGAACACTCAGGTTATGGAATGAGCTCCCTGCCAAGGTTTTCCCAAGAGACTACAGCATGGGATTCTTCAAAAGGGGGGTAAAGAGGTTTCTTCAGGGTCGGTAACGCGCGCGTAATACCTCTAGTATTGCAGGCGTTCGTAGGCTTCGGTAGCCACTTACCGTCAGGTGGGCCGTATGCTTGTTTGCCACCTCAGTGGTATAAAAAAATGGTAACCCTGCCTGCTCTAATGGTACACGCTGGCGGGGCACCAGTGAGGGATGATATGTGACGATGAAAGCAGATCAGTTAGCCCATCGTGACGAATTCCACTAGAATTAACCATGATGGTTTTCAGATGTTCTCATGAATGTACTAATAACAGATACGTAAGCACATGTGACATTTTTTTTAGAATAGCTTAACGAGAGGTCAATAAATAAATGAGCAAAAGAACCTTCTTTTTCTTCTTCGGTTTCGGCTTGGGCTTGACCTCCGGCTCGTTGTACCCCGACGGGAAGAACCTGGCGCATTCCTCCTCCCCGACCACAATGTCAGCGCTCACATGTAGGGGGCCCAGGGCCAGCAGCTCGACGGGGGGACCCTCGGGGGGAATGTCGCCGGGCTCGGCTAGTTCAGGCTCAGCTAATCCCATGGCTACCATCACTACCATGGTCTCACAACTGTGGATTTAATTACATATGGATACGTAGGTACGTCAAAGAATTTTTATTTTTTTTTATTCTGGATGAGTGGCAGTCCTTTACCGTGCGTTTTTCCGTTCAAGGTACTTCCTTCCACGCACAACCACTCTTTGGAATCAAATTCCAGCAGCAGTATTTCTGAACCGCTATGATATTATAAATTTCAAGAAACATTAACGAGAATATGATTTTCTGGTATAATATCAGCCAATACTTACTAGTCTTTGTCCAGTTTCTCGTCGTATTTATCAACAGTCTTGCATAGTAGCTTCGGCTCGTTGACGTCGGCGTCGGCGAAGAACCCGCAGCGAAGTACCCTGGAGCTGACGCGGGGGGCGGCGGCCGCGGCCAGCACGGCGCGCCGCTGCCACGCGCCGAAAATCATCGCCACGTGCGGGGGCTCCGCTACCGCCGGCGGCTCTAGCACGGCTCCCACCATCTTGGAAATAACAAGTGGTCACACCATTACACCAATTTCCTGATCCTCTGATCCTCACTCTAGGATCTGTTATGAAGAACCAGCAAATTATATTTTGGAGTACAACCCAGAACTCTCAGACCCGAGTCAATTCAGAAAATTCTGTTTTCTAAATTTCATCATCATCATCATAGCAACCGTTAACTGTCCACTGCTGGACAATAGACCTTCCCCATAGACTGCCATAAGGAACGGTCCTGAAAAACCTGCATCCACTGATTTCCTGCAATGCACTGGAGGTCGTCGCTCCATCTAGTAGAGCGAAGCGGAAAGGTGGGCGGAGGGGATATCTTACACGAACTTTATACGGTGTCGCCACTCAAGAACCTTTTCGATGGGGATCATCGGTTATCAGTTCTTTGAGCTTTGTGACTAACCCATTGCCACATCAGCTTTCGGCCATTTTTACTACATTTGCCCACACGGAAATCCGGATCTCTGGAGCTTTACGCAGCCGATATATGTGACATTCTGAATAAAAAGCATAATAATACACATTTGTGCTCTATTGCCTTATAACAGAAAGTTTAAGTTTCGATTTATACCTTCGGGAAGAGCAGGTCCAACGCAGCAGCCCTCTGGTGTCTGTCTTTGGGTACAAATATACCAGGGACACCGTCTATATATAGTTCTTCAGCCGGGTATCTCTTGGTCTCCTGGTCTTCTTCGCCGTCTCCGTACAGAGCACGACGAGTTAGTTCTGTAAAAAAATTTAAAATTAACACGATCAGATCAGAATCATCAACGGTACTTACGTAAAACTAAAAGACTACAGCATGGAGCTCTTCAAAAAAGGGATAAAGCAGTTTCTTCAGGGTTGGGCAATGCGTGCGTTGTGTTCCTGGTACTGCAGGCGTCCATAGGCTACGGTAACCGCTTGTAAATGGTTGCGTAATGCAGACAAAGTAAAGGTTAATAGATTTCGCCCATTATGTATGCGTGGATATAGGCAATAGGGGACCACTTCTATATGGTATAACTAAATGAAATATACACCAAATTTTAGGTTATGGTTAGAGTTTTAGTACTGGCAAAACTCCCCTTATGGGGAAGGCTTATGATCAGCAGTGGAAAGTTAATGAAATAATAATAATAATAGAATTTAAGGAATACGCCTGTGAAAACAGCATCCAATTTGGAGCAGTATTTTCTATAAAATAAGATATGATGCTCTATACAGATGACACAGAAGAAAAATATGGTTACGTCTGCAACTGTTTATCCCTAACAATTTTCAGTTTTTTACAGCATTTCAGCGCTTGAGGTTGACTGGGAGAGAATGACGTAATAATGCGTTTGTATAGCTGTGTTTCGGTTTGAAGGGTGGGATATGACGTGAATTTACAGGGTACAGAGGAATAACACCCTAGTCCTCAGGAATGGCAACGCATGGGGGGTATCATGGGCGAAACAGTATACTTTGTACTCTGTATATACTCTGTTATGTACATGGTACTGTTCATGTCTCTAGGCGATGGTTACCACTTTCCATCAGGTGGGCCGTCAGCTTGTTTGCCATTCTAAGTTGTATAAAAAAAATAGAATTAATTCTGCCATTTGTACCAAATATTTTTTGTAATGTGGTCAATAAAAAATTTATTGGTTTTACTTGATACCGGAAAAACATATGAAGAGTAGACGCTGCTGTCCAGCTCTCTCGTGTTAAGTTCCCTTAGTCGCCTCTTACGACACCCACAGGAAAGAAAGAGGTGGCTTATTCTATGCCGGGACCTACATGGCTATATACCCACTATATTACTCTTGTTAAAATCCCCTACATTTTTCCGATACATCCCATGGACATTCAAAATTCTAACTGGACATAGATTGAAGAATTTTCTTTATTGGTAAGATAAGCTGATAACTAAATCTTGTGCATACCGATAACACTGCCTTCCTTGTCAGGTGCCTTCTTCAGCAACAGCGCGAGAGCTGGTCTCTCCGCCAGTAGGGCTACCACAGCTTCGTCCCCGAACTCAGGGTCCTCCACCGCCAACCTTTTGGCTCCGTCCTTGCCCACTACAAGGGGGCATTTGTCTGCAACTATCACTCCTGGAATTAGAAATAAAGTTATTTTTTCTTTTAACTCTTCGAGAAAATCTGATTTATTCTATTTTTGAGGCCCAAATAAAAAACATTTCTAGAAATTTAATTTACGTTGTTGTATCTATCTCTACTATTCTGTTATGGAAAAAAATATCTTTTAAAAAAATTGGATATAGGTCTCCCCCATAGATTGCCATAAGGAACGGTCCTGAGCCACCTGCATTCACTGACTCCCTACAATGCATTTGAGGTCGTCACTCCGTCTAGAGGGGAATCGTCCTACAATGCGTTTGTCCCTACTAAATACTTTTGTAATAGGTATTAATATTTAAAAAAATATTTGTTGGGATATTGAGTTTGAATGTTGTTTAGTTATATTTTTTACTACAGACAACTGGGCAAGATAATATACTAACTTTTGTATAATTAGTCATCCAACTTGTTGTTTAGAGCAATTATTTGAAACTTTACACGACTCTAGAGAATTTAAGGCATTATAACAATAAATTATGTGAAACTCGAGTTAGTATGAGCAAAGAGCAGCCAGCTTACCTAGCATACCTAATAAAAACTTGATACCTAAATATAAAAAATAATAATAATGAGGCATTAGAAATTTCCCTGCGAATTATTCCTTGTGGTAATCTTGTATTAACATAAAATATAGTATTTATTAAAATGGCTCTTAATTTTTACATATATTAATTTTAAAACGTTATAAGTTAAATGAATTTATAAATAAAGTTCTTATATTCTAATTATATATATACCATCATCATCATTATATCAGCCTATAACTGTTAACTGTTGAACATAAGCTTCCCCCTTGGGGGTGTTGACACGCTTGGCAGGCGAGGTGGCAACCGCAGTTAGGCTTTGGAAATGTTTTAAGTGGGACGCTGCTGCCCATTCCTCGTTCTTCCTTAGTCGCCTCTTACGACACACACGGGAAAGGAAAAGGTAGCTTATTCTATTCCGAGACCACACTGTACTTCTTTATATATTAACGATGAATTAGAGTACTTATAACAGCGAGGGTAAGTCATTAAAACATTTACTTCAGAAATCCTCGAAACAAGAAAAAGTTAAAATTTATTTCTTTACCAATCGGTTCCAAAGCATCGGACACTCTTCTCAAATGTTTTTGGGCCACCGGCGTCATCAGTGCCGGGCATATGTCATTGAAATATGCTTCCAGGCGCTTGGCCCTGTCTTCCCGACGGGCGGTACGGGCCGCCTCGATCGCCGCGATTTCTTTTTGTCTTCTCTCTTGATATATCTTCTCTTGGGCTGTAGCTACTTCCTAAAAAAATATTGGGATTTCAGCTGCCCGCTAACGAAATGCTTTCTTACTGTACTGGGTTGACTGGAAGAGATCTCTGTCAGAGATAAGTCCACCCTTGCTCACAACATTTATAAATAGATTATTTTATATGTAACTTACAAGTGCAATAAAGAATATATATATATATAGCTCTAGTTGCAGGTTACTCAATAGTTACTATATTTTTATGTATGTATGTATGTATATGTGTATATATATATAATTTGTAAGCAAGTTCCCGTACGGCTGCGTACCTGTTCAGGCGGGGTGAGCTCGTGCGGAGCTCTCAGCGGTCGTCCCCTCTCCCCTGTCTGCACCTGCTCTTCGTTGCGCAGTTCCTGTTCTATAGTCCGCGTGAGGCGAGGAGCGTCCGCACCGAACATCACGTTCAGCAGTTGTCCGCCCTTACAAAGAATTTTATTTAGTTTATTTCCAGAAACATACATGATACGATGTTACAGTTTGTTTTTTTAATGTGCAGTATGTTTCGCCATATTTAATAGCATGCAAATGTTAATCTCCCTAATGGGAGACAGGCGTGACAGATATGTATGTATATATGTATGTATGTATGTATGTATGTATGCAAATGTTTATGAGTAGTATCCATTAAACATACTGAATCCGTTACATTATAATTTTAATATAATTAACATCGATTAATATTCTAATATCAAATTATTCCAAATTAATATTTACTATACAAATACTTGTGTCAATACATTTAAATGCAGAACAAGTCCAAAATTAAAATCCCTAAATATAATAAATGGTTATACAATATAGCTGAATTATTTATACGTTTACATACATACATTTCATTATTTTAAAAAAACATTTATTAAATAAAAATTGTATTCCAGTATCCATTTTTTTAAAGTGACTTACTGGCAGTTCCCTTATTGATTTTGGGATTTATATATATATATATATATATATATATATATATATATATATATATATATATATATATATATATATATATATATATATATAGTACTTTAGATTACATAGATAGAGTGTCCCCATACAAATGTTTCGAGAAAAGCGGGTCAACTTTTTCATACAATTTTGCTTGATAAATAGTTATGACAGTTTCCTTTATAACTTCTATACATATTTTGTCTTAGATTTTCCTTTTTAAGACGCAAAAACTCATTTTATTTATTAAATAATTAAATATAGTTACGTCAAGGTATTATACATGGTGTGCCTTAATATATAGAACACTGATAAAAAAGCAAGTCAGCTAATTTGACAATTAGCTGATAAAATGTTGACCCGTTTTTTAGGCTCGATGCTCTATCTATATAATCGAAGCTTACTCTGTTATAATTGATAGGCGAAGTCGGAAACAACACGCTGGAGTTTTGCCAAGTAGGTAGTCAGGTAGACAGATATCTATAGGTACCTACGTATTCACCTGCATTTGGATTATTTTTATTGTACCCCGTATAAGTTTGGTCGATATCGCTGCCGCGTACCCTTCCACGAAGATGTATTGTACTACATATATGACCTGAACATACGTATATACTGGAAATAAAAACATCGCATGCCACCAAAACAGGTTTTAAGCACCAGAGCATAGGGTGGCTTTTTCTTTATCGTACATTTGCAAATGTTAGTCGCAAAGTCGTTTGAAATATTCACCGCAAGAAACATCCACGTGGGTTCGCTGCGTTTTCTGAACCGCTTCAGGCATTCTATGTTGTCTGATTTTGCCTGGAAATGTTTAATTTATTAAAATATTTAATTTATTAAAATAGTAAAAAAAAAGGATTGTTAGGAATGAAGTCTAACAGTTAAATTGCTAGCAGGGGGGAAGGGATTGTTAGTAATGCGGACTGCCAGTCGCATTGCTAGCAATATACCCTGGCAGGTCGACCTCCACGTGGTCCCACCCGGAAACCATCGTGCTAAATTCCAGATTTTCATCACGTTGGGCTGACTGACCTGCCTCTTTATCCTTACCTATCATCTTTCACTGGTGCCCCGCCGGCGTATACCATTTTACCAGTGTTACCATTCCATTATCATCCGTCAGAAAATAAAGTTACTAGCAATATATTGCATCAGGTTGAGATCCCAATGGAAACCATGATTAATTCTTCTGAGATTAATCACGATGGGATAACGGACCTGTTTTCATCTGTCATCTCTCATTGGTGCCTATAAAGTTGTCGCAAACAGAGTTACCATTCCATTTTAACCCATCAAAAAAAAACTTGGAATAGCAAACTTAACAGCCCACTCGAGTGTCAGTTGATTTTTTTTTTATACAACTTAGAATGGCAAACAAGTTGACGGCCCACCTGATGGAAAGTGATAACCGTCGCCTATAGACATGAGCAGTACCATGGACATAAAGTATACTGTTTCGCCCATGATACCCCCCATGCGTTGCCATTCCTGAGGACTCAGATGTTATTCCTTCGTACCCAGTAAATTCACGCCCTTCAAACCGAAACACAGCCATGCAAACACAACTGCTTCACGATTGAAACACGAATGGGACAGAGGTACCCAAGCAATCGACTTTTGTACAAAGTCTCCCTCTGGTATGTTTATGGATATGAACCACAGATGTCACAATGAAACAATAGGATGTACCATTATTGTTATAATAGCTGTTAACTGCTCCACTATTGAACATAGGTCTTCCCATGCTGCATCCCGGTTGGCAGGCGGGTTGCTAACCGTAAGGCTTTGATGATATTTTAAGAGGGACGCTGCTGCCACTTCCTCGACCATAAAGTTTCCTTAGTAGCCTCTAACGACACCCACGGGAAAGGAAAGGGTAGCCCATTCTATGCCGGGAAATACGGGTTTTTCATAGCCATCGGATGGGTCGTGAGTTTTACACCATTTTTTTTTAAATAATCATAAATGCAGTGTAGAAATTAAACTTACCACGGCCAAGTGCAGGTTGTCTCCTCCCAGTTCCACCTTGATCTTCTTCAAATTCCCCACCATGCCGATGCATGGTCCACACCATTCCGAATACACATCTATCACTGCAACAAAGTAATAGATCCATTTCCATTTGTCCCCAGGATATCTTAAGAGATGACTGTGGGAACAAAATACGATACCTACTCGATCGAAACAAAATACTATACCAAACCGTCCAGCCAGGATTGTAATAGTAGGCTAATATCATTCTCTTGGGGGGAAAGGGATTGTTAGTGATGGAAACAGAATCCCATTGCTAGCAATATACCCAACCAGGTCGCCCTCCTCGCGATTCCTCCTGGAAACTATCATGGTTAATTCCTGATGAATTCATCATGATGGAATTTTCATTTTCATCTATCACCTTTCACTGGTGCTCCGTCAGCGTATCCCGTTAGCGCAGGCGGTGTTACCATTCCATTATCGCCAATCAAAAAAAAAATCATTCTCTTATGTAAGAGACCTACCAGCAGTGAAACCTTTATGGGTTGATGATAAACAGCCGGTACTACACTATCTTCCAACAGTCCACACCATGGCTCCAATCTGTCGTAACTCGAGATCTATAAAAAAGACAATCATTCTCGAACTAGCTCTCGGACGTGAACAGTTTTTTTAATGGATGAAAATGGAATGGTAACCTCTCTTGCGCTAAATGTATACACTTACAGGGCTCCAGTGAGGGTATGGTAGGTAGGGCGGTGGCATTAAAACAAGTCAATATTTTTTTCGTTTTTGACGGCTGACGGCCCATCTGATGGAAAGTGGTAACCGTCGCCTATAGACACGAGCAGTACCATGGACATAACAGAGTATACTGTTTCGCCCATGATACCCCCCATGCGTTACCATTCCTGAGGACTCAGGTGTTATTCCTCTGTACCCAGTAAATTCACGCCATATCCCACCCTTCAAACCGAAACACAGCGATGCAAACAACTGCTTCACGGTAGAAACACGAATGGGACAGAGGTAGCCAAGCAATCGACTTTTGTACAAAGTTTCCATCGTACTGAATTCATCTGGATATAGTCACGATACTTCCAAGAGGGAACCACACAGAGGTCGACCTAGTAAGGTATATTAGTACCCATTTAAAGGAAAGGGATTGTTAGTAATGAGGTCTAATAGCTCCATTGCTAGCAATATACCCTCTCAGGTCGGCCTCCACGCGGTTCCCCCTGGAAACCATCATGGTTAATTCTTGTCGAATTCATCATGGTGGGCCAACTGACTCGCATTCATTCTCATCTATCATCTTACACGGGTGCCTCGTCGGTGTATACGGAAAACACGGGCGGGGTTACTATTCCATTTTCACCCATTAAAAAAAACTACCCATTACTTACAATCCCTTTCCCTCCACATGTGGACGATAAGGCATATAGTTAGACTGTTGGACGATCGCGTGGAGCTTGCTTTAAATACCACACATAATTTACTGGGTACAGAGGAATAACACCTGAGTCCTCAGGAATGGCAACGCATGGGGGGTATCATGGGCGAATCAGTATACTCTGTTATGTCCATGGTACTGCACATGTCTACAGGCGAGTGTTACCACTTTCCATCAGGTGGGCCGTCAGCTTGTTTGCCGTTCTAAGTTGTATAAAAAAAAAAACCTCCGTTTTAGTTCACTGTCACGTACCAAGCAATCCTTCTCTCTGCATGAATTTATGCCACTCATCATCATTGTTGAGCTCGGCCTGCAACTGGACCTGTGCGGCCTTCTTGCCTGCCCCGGCGGCGGCGGCGGCGGCGGCGTTGGCGACCGCGCTCGTCAGCGCCATATTGTCGATTGGCGGCAAATAATGGCGGGAAGCGTGCACGCGTGCGTGCCGGCATGTTACCGGTTGGATATTGAATTTGAGGAGCAAATACTAATATGTCTCTATGTGTACAACGTGGCAGGATTGTGAAGATGCAGTTTGGTAATTGTATTATATTATCTGTGATGGTAGTGAGGTGAATTGAATCTAATTTACGTAAAAAAGTACTGAAGTAGGTACTTAACAGTAACTCAATTGACTTTTAAAAACTGTTACTTTAGTGTTGTGTATAAACATCAAGCTCTTATTGGAAATTGTATTCAATTTTTAAATTGAGAATGTTTCAGAGATATTTTTTTTTTATAATTAATAAATGTGTCCCAGAAAAAAATTCGACTTCAATTGTGACAAAGAAAGTTGTTTTGATTTATAAACTAAATCCCTGAACCGATTTTGACAAAATTTGTATGAGACTAATCTGTAAATATATCCTTCTAGATAAAAAAAGAATTCTTCAAAGCAATTTAGAACTAACGGAGTTATGAGAGATGAGTCATATGAGGTGGCCAAGCATCCTACCTTCTCTATTCTATATACATACATATATAGAGTTATGTGAAAACAAAGATAAAAAAAAACACAACCGAATTGAGAACGTCCTTCTTTTTGAAGTCGGTTAAAAAGGGAGAACCTTTTCAGATGAGGTTGTAATCGTTTGTGTTGTTTTTTTGGATTGGTAAACGAGCTGACGGCTGACGGCCTCATGAATAGTGGTCTGGTAACCGTCGCCTGTAGACTTAAATAGCACTATAGACATCAAAGAAGATTCTATGACGCCCATGGTACACATTACACGTTGTCATTCCTCAGGATTGTGGTGTTATGCCTGCAACCCTGCAATATGACTGTCATATCATATCCGTCCATCTACCACTTCCGTTAGTTCGTCAGAAAATCAGTGTTTAGGCGTAATGTTATGCTAATAGATTTATTTAAAAATAAACATTTATATGAATCAGAGGATAGAATGAAACAACGATTAATTACAAGAAGGATGGATTTACAAAAGGTTATTATACCCACATTTAACATAGTACAACATTGTCCACGAAACCAAGCGGTGGTGTTATTTAATAAGCTGCCTAAGGAATTAAAGTCACTGAATGATTTAAATATCTTCAGGACAAAATTGAAGTCATTACTGCTAGAGAGGTGTCTGTACTCAATTGACGAATTCTAATTATAGTAAATTTGAATATATACCTATATTGTTTATGTTAAGAGATGACTAAGTGACTATAATATTGTTTTATGCTTGATTTAATTTATATTTTATATAGTGTATGAAATTATTGTATCTACTATAACATTCAAATACAAATTTTTGTTTATGAATAAATACAATAAAATGAATAAATAAAATATGTATATATACCTAGATATGAATACCTAGATATTTAGTTGAGTGGTGTCCATTTTAGGCGAATTATTCCGAATTAGGTATAAACTTATTTTTTTGTATTTTCTTTAAGTTTATAATTGTTTATGTTCTTGTTGTAACTATGCGCCAAATGAATCTTTTACTTTCTTTCTTTAATTTAAAGTTTATAAATCATAAGGTATATGCGTTCATTAGATTATTTAAAAAATCGCGTGCGTTAATTCTGGTCTATTATATTTCGTTTACTAAACTATTATCCCGTAATACAAACTATGCTTCTTTCATAATTTATTGCAGTCTAGTGTCTAGTGGCAGAAATTCAATTAAAAACTTAAATAAGGTGTCGTTCCGTATTATTTACAATATTGTTGCTATTCTCCGCTAGATGGCACATTTTAATAATATCGTTACTTCTATATATTGTTAACAGATGGCGCAGGTAATTGGGCTTCTTAAATGATAATGGAATGGTAACCCTGTCTGCGCTATCGGTATACATTATTTTACCATATATGATTGCTTTACGCTTCAACATATCTGATGGCAAGGAATCAGAGCGGCTCCCTGCCAGCACCGGCCCACGTAATAGCCATATCGGTATACATTAGTAAGGTATTGGTCATCTACCAATACCTTTGGCTGAAGATGCAGTTAGGTCAGTTGTTCCATCGTGATGAAATAAAAACGGCGATTTTCACAAGAAACATTGACTTGACAGAGTTTGATGGGGGGAAGGGATTGTTAGTAATGGGGTCTAACAGCTCCATTGCTGGCAATACACCTTGTTAGGTCGACTTGTACACAGTTCGCTCTGGAAACCGTCGTGTTTAATTCTTTTTGAATTCGCCATGATGGGCCAACTAACCTGCTTTCGTCTTCACCTATCATTCTTCACTGGTGCTTCGCCAGCGTATACCGATACCGCAGCGGGGTTACCATTCCAATTTCACCCATTAGAATAAAAACAAACATCTGTTCTATGTAATGTAAAGGAACAGAAGTATGAGCTCGTATTTGTTAGTTTGGGTAATTTTCCTTCTACATTAAAACTATTTCAGATGTTTTTATTACTGTTTTAATCAATACCGCAGGCAATTATATTAAATTATTTGAATTATCTAATATTTTGACGCTTCTCATTTAACTTCTGTTTTATTTTTTTTATTTAACTTTCCTTCTTTTATGTTTTATATTTTTTCACAAATTATTCTTGTTATACTAATGTGAAATTATGTTTTTTTCTTTGTTGCAACCATAATGGTTTTGTTACAGTCGTATTTATTGTTGGATCACGCTGTGTGCACATGTATGTATGTATGTACTTGCATGTTACGTTTTGCAGGTGGTTCAGGACGGTTCCTTAAGGCAGTCTGTGGGGAGGCTTACGTTCACCAGTGAAGTAATAATGGTTGACGATGTTATGTTTTAAGTTTGTATTTGTAAACCTCTGTTAAGTGCACCAAATAAATAATAGTCTTTTAATATTTATATTATAAGTGAATGTACAAAAGGCTATAAATAAATAAATAAGATAAAATAAACTAAAAACATCCAATTTTTGCGTTACTCCACTTTGTCATCAAGATCACTAATTTCCATGTAAATCGTTTAAATGCGATATATTTCTTATGTTGTCAACATTAAACAATAAGCTGCGAACGTGACTGAGGGTCGGAGGGCACTTTTGTCCTTTCAGAGGCACGCCGAGACATTCAAAGTGGGTAGATGCCGCCGAAACATTCCGCGTTCACTAAAACGTTTTTTACTACCGACTCGATTATGAACTGCTCCGTACTTGTTATGCATCATTATTTTCGTACAGTCACTGGTACTGTAAAGGCTTTTCTTTAGCGGACATAAATGTGTAAGCGCTTTAAAAGTTATGGAGAGAAGGACTTTTTCCGCGGAGCAAACTGCGGTGAGATTCTGGGACGCGTAATTTATCTGCGTTTCATTCATTGGAAGTAGACTCCGCTGTGTACATTTGTAGGTGCTTTCCTCTTTTTTACCACCCTGTAAAATTCAGGGAAAGATTTTTCCTTTAATTTATTTTTATATAGTGCAGAGAAATATTTGCTGATATTTTACAGACAGAGTTTTTAATATTTGTCATACTCGTGTTTAGACATGATCTTTTTTGATATTTAGCATCCAATAGACTAAAAAAACATATTTCGGCATAACACAGGACATTTCACACGGGAATGTGAGTTAAAAAAATATATTTGTTCTTAAATATCCATAACTATGTATTATATATTGGATTTTTTATTGGTAAAAATCGAGCATGGCATCAATGTGGGATTATATGTGAGGATGAAGCAGGGGATTATAGGTGAGGATGAAGCAGGGGATTATAGGTGAGGATGAAGCAGGGGATTATAGGTGAGGATGAAGCAGGGGATTATAGGTGAGGATGAAGCAGGGGATTATAGGTGAGGATGAAGCAGGGGATTATAGGTGAGGATGAAGCAGGGGATTATAGGTGAGGATGAAGCAGGGGATTATAGGTGAGGAGGAAGCAGGGGATTATAGGTGAGGATGAAGCAGGGGATTATAGGTGAGGATGAAGCAGGGGATTATAGGTGAGGATGAAGCAGGTCAGTTGGCACATCATGACGAATTTGACAATTATTAATCACGATGTTTTTCTGAGGAACCGCATGGAGGTCGACCTGATTGAGTATACTGCCAGCGATGGCGCTGTTAAAACCCATTATTAACAAACCCTTTTCTCTCGACACTGGATTGCTGTCTCAAATTCAAATTAAAATCGTCTTTACTTAAATAGATTTGTTTACAAGATCTTTTAAATTTTTGTTAACATTATGTGTATTTATTTAAATGATCATCAATGATAAATATACAATGACAATTGAGTTAATAATATTAGAATTTATTTCATAAATAACTTTTTTTAAATGGTCACTAAATCAATATAACTACATTATATCAACTCGGAAATAAATATTGTCGATTGAAATAAAGTTAATTAAGTTTGGTGCAGAATTGACGGAAATATCACGTTACATACTCAAAAATACAGGCGACGTCGGATTTCCTTCTCTTTGAAATTACATGAAATTGTTTGGAGAATAAAGAGAGATTAGGGGAGGAAAGCAAAGTGGATAGGTTTACTTCACTATTTTGAAGGGAAAGATCGAGGATCGGATTAACGCAACGAGTTTTTTTCTATGTAATATAACGAGGAAGATTTTTTTTTACAACTTAGAATGGCAAACAAGCTGACGGCCCACCTGATGGAAAGCGGTAACCGTCGCCTATAGACATGAGCAGTATCATGGACATAACAGAGTATACTGTTCCCCCATGATACTCCCCATGCGTTGCCACTCCTGAGGACTCAGGTGTTATTCCTCTGTACCCTGTAAATTCACTGCCATATCCCACCCTTCAAACCGAAACACAGCCATGCAAACACAACTGCTTCACGGTAAAAACACGAATGGGACAGAGGTTGCCAAGCAATCGACTTTTGTACAAAGTCTCCCTCTGGTTATATTATATTTTAGTATTAATAAGGTTAAGAGAGTTTCGATCCAGAAGGAAGACATAGCTATATGAAAGCTTAAAACGTATTATTAGAATGTGGATATGTATATATCCGACTTGTAACTAGTAATTGAACAGTGTGACTATTTAGAAGGGAGGCAGATGGGCGCGCGAGGGGGCGTCCGGGGGGCACGGGAGGGGAAACTTCACTAAATTACGATGCTTTAAACCCATGAATTATTCATACTAACCTATTTT